CATCAGGATGTAACACACCGGGAGGGAAAGTAAGCATATCGGGTACAATGTGGTAGGTAGCAGCTAAAATGGTGACCGTGGCGCAATTACCTAATTCACTTCCGACCAGAGTCCGTGTAACTGCAGTAATAATTTCTCGATGTTGGGAGCATTTGGTGGTCCTGCCCCGCTGATTCGAAGCGTTGTTTGAGTCAGCAATCTGTTTTAAAAAAATATAAATAAAAAAAATTGAAATAAAATATATAATATATAATATGATTTTTAAAGATGAAGCGATAATGATGAATGATTTTATAGAGAAGAGATTTTAAACAAAGAAATTTGTTTATCCTGTAACTATGCGCCCTTGTGGACAGGAGGCAGAACCAACTTGCAATTTTGAGGGGGGGGGCAAATACAGACACTGTGAAATAAATTAAATTAACTAAAAAAATTAATACTTTTATGTCTAATATATTACAAATTTTTTTCAAAAAAAAAATAAGCAAGAGAGGAATAAGAGAAAATGTCGTAATTTAAACTGTCATAGATAAAAAGCTTGAAACAAAAATAATAGGAACTAAATGTAATGAAATATATAGATATTTTAGGTGCAGAAGTTAGGATAAACAGAATTTATTTAGGGGGGAGTGGGGGGACAAAAAAATAAAATTTTTAGGGGACATAATGTTTTTGGTTTTAAAGAAATTTTTGAACACTACTATAAATTTTTTTTTGAGCGGGGGGCAATTACCCCCTCTCCGTCCTCTCTGTCGTCCTCTTCATCATCACCGTTCTGCGCCTCCGCCGGGCCGGAGCCCGACCCGGCCCGGCCCACACCCTCCCCCGCGGCTCTCTCGGCTGGCCCGTCCTCGGCGAAACACTCGAGTTCGTTTCGGCTGCGTACTCCCCCCGGCCCGAGTCCTTCATGAACCGCCGCCGTCTCCTCTACGGAAAGGTTTTCAAATCGCACTTATTCGGGAGTCCGACTATCGTGTCTACGGACGCAGAAGTCAGCCGCTTCGTCCTACAAAGCGACGCGCGGGCTTTCGTTCCGTCTTACCCCAAATCTCTCTCCGAGCTTATGGGGAAGTCGTCGATTCTGCTCATCAACGGCGCGCTTCAGCGCCGCGTTCACGGCCTCATCGGCGGCTTCTTCAAATCCCCACACCTCAAGTCGCAGATCACCGCCGACATGCAGTCTTACGTGCGCCGGGCCATGGACTCCTGGCCCGAAACCAGTCCCATCCTCATCCAGGACGAGACCAAGCATGTCAGTCTCTCCCTCTCCATCTCTTTCTTTCTCTTTCTCTGTACGTACACACGTGCGTGCGCAATTATGTTTGCAGAGGCTCTTTTCGCGCAGAGTGAAAGAGGCGCGGTACTCGCAAGGAAAGTTTGTTGACGTGTTTTCTCGATTAGATTGTGTTTCAGATACTGGTGAAGGGGCTTATTGGGCTCGAGCCCGGCGATGAGATGCGCTTCCTCAAGCGAGAATTTCACGAATTTATTGCTGGATTGATATCTCTCCCTGTCAACCTTCCGGGGACCAGGCTTTACAGATCCCTTAAGGTACCTAATTAATAATTCTTTTTTAGTAATTAAATTCGTTCTTCAAATAATAAAAATTTTGTACAGGCGAAGAAAAGGATGGTGATGCTGCTGAAGAAGGTCATAGAAGAGAAGAGGAGGAAGAGGAGCTCCGGTCTGGTGGGGGAGACGCCTAAGGACGTTATTGACGTTCTCATCAGCGACACGTCGGAGGAACTAACCGACGAGCTGATTTCCGACAACATGATCGACCTCATGATCCCGGCGGAGGACTCCGTGCCGGTGCTCATCACCCTCGCCGTCAAGTATCTTAGCAGCTGCCCTCTCGCTCTCCGGCAGCTGGAGGTACTCTCTTGCTGGAGGATCTCTTTTTTTTTTTTCGGAAAATTTTGAATCGGAATATCAAAAGAAAAAAAAAATGTAAAATATCTTATTACAGATTATTTAAAATTAGTAATTTAATTTAAAAAAATTATATTACATTATTTCAAAATAAATCTAATTTTCAAATTTTCTAAACTTAAACTTATGTTACAAGAATTTTAAAATTTTTTATTAAAAATGTATTTTAAAAATCAATAAAAAAACTGTCCAAAATATAAACAAAATTATTAAAATTCTAATTTATTTTAAAGGAATAGTACTGAAATATAAATTTTAAAATAATTAATAGATTAAAAAATTAATAAATTCGAACAATGGGGGAAGTTCTGAACTATTTGACCACGCCTCTATTCATTATATCCATTCTACTTTATGAGATATTCGTTTTACCATTAAAAAACAAACGTTTTGAATATGTTTTATATTACCTTAAAAGATATATATATTCTTTTATTTTTATAATTTTATCTGATTAGTTATTTATTAAATTAAAATTCTGACATCAAATAAATACACAATAAATAAATAATTAAATGAAATTATTTCGATGCAGTAATATTAAACTATGATAATTACTTATCTCTAATTAATTAATATTATTGTTTATTATATATTAATTCTAGCGGAGATGGGCATTAGAAGGAATATGGGTTAGGTTATGTGAAACAAAGCAAAGGAGATGCCGAAAGTTGGCTGATAGCTTTGTTAGCATCTCCTTTATTTATTTATTTTTTGGTTTTACAATTCTATTTATTCATTCATTAGGCTATGGGGCCATTAGTACAAAAGACTGCAGGCTTAATAAAGTAATCATGAATCCATCATTAGTCAATTGTGGTTAAATAATTTATTGTTTTTATTAACTCATTTCGCTGTTAACTACACTTAGGACAAAATCAATCTCACAAAAAGTATATTATGCCTTTGTGGATCTCTTTTTATATTCAAAATATACGTTTTTAGGAATAAAATTATCAAAACTTGGAAACTTTTTTTAATATAGAACTTTTTTTTTTATTTTGAGATTTAGATTTCATTTGGGGCAGCTTTTTTATTGCTTTAAAAAGAGGTTTTTAGTACAAAATTTTTTTGTTTAAAAAACTTTTGTTGTTAAAAATTACTTTAAAAAATGTAGCCTTAGAGTTTATTTGAGATAATTTTTTAACTATTTTGTTTTTCATATAAAAGTCTTAATTTTTTTGGATATTACTTTTTGTTATTTTTCCTCTAATTTTTAAAGATTTCTATTATGAAAAATTATTTCCTTAATAAGAACGAATAAGTTATTTTTTTCACAATAAATTTACGAAAGATTTTATAAAATGTTGCAACCCCCAAACACCCTTAGCCAATTTAATGAATAGATTTCTATATAAGATGAGATTTATTTCTAGATCAATTTATAAAATGGGTAGGTTTAATTGCTTTGCTTAGAGATAAATGAAATATATAAGAATTAATCAAAATTTATATTAAGATGATTAAAAAATAAATTCAAAAATTTGATAAGAATATTATAAGTCACCATTTAAAATGTTCTTACTAGTTGAAGTTATATGATAAGTTAATTAATAATTCTCAGGAGGAGAATATGGAACTTAAGGAGAGGAGATGTCGTCAGGGGCAGGATTCTTTACAGTGGAACGACTACATGTCTTTGTCATTCACACAAGATGTAAGAGCTAGCAACGAATACTATATGTGCTGACCCTTATTGATCGATTGACTTGATGGAATGACATAAAATATATATAGGTGATAACGGAGACTCTGAGGCTGGGGAATATTATAGGAGGGATCATGCGCAAGGCGGTGAGAGACGTGGAGGTGAAGGGACACCTGATACCCAATGGCTGGTGCGTCTTCACCTACTTCAGATCGGTTCACCTCGACGAAGCCATATATGACGAGCCCCACAGATTCAATCCATGGCGATGGAAGGTATATTGTGGTCACAGCCTGCTTCTCCTTTACATGGCAAAATAATTCAGTGATTAATGAAAAAAATTGGCTCATGATCCAGCGGAATCTGTCAGAAAAAATTGTAAAATACTGATAGATTTTCCGTCGGTAACACTCCTGAATTATCCACCAGTATTGCCGGCGGAATGTAATCCGTCAGAAATTTCGTCGGGATTACTTACACCAACGGATATTCTGCAGGTTTCCAAGAAAACCTAGTGGGAATTCCGCTGGAAGAACTTTTTTGGAATTTTTTTCATTACAAATGGATTTCTAAGGTGCTTACTTTGATTGAAGTTTCATTCTGGAAGGCTTTTTTATTGCTTTTTAAAACAGTTTTTTATATAAAATTCTAATATTTAAATTAAAAAGCTGTTTTAAGAAACAATAAAAAAAGTCATCCCAAACAAAACGTGAGAATACACTTATTTTCAAACAAATTCAATGAAATTTTGAATCATTGTGACTAAGGTATTTTGGGAATGTTTTTCGCCATTTCTTAAAATAACTTTTTTGTATAAAAATTAAAAATTTTATAATAGAAAGCTGCGTTAAAATGTAGTAAGTAAACCGTCCCAAACGAAGCCTAAATTGATCATAATAAAGTTTTCTGTTAAGCGCTTGCATTTGCATGCAATTCCTTGCCCCGAGCAACTCGATCTGCACCGATTATTTTGTGCTTGTCATGCATATATGGCCAGTTAAAGAACTTAGAGATGAATATTATTATCAACCTCTCTACTCAGATTGGCTCAGTATCTTCTTTTCTGATAACTACTGTTGCTGTTGTTGATTTGTAACACGCAGGAAAAGGACATGAGTAGTTGCAGTTTTACTCCTTTTGGAGGCGGGCAGCGGCTCTGCCCCGGGCTTGATCTCGCCAGGCTGGAAGCCTCCATCTTTCTTCACCACTTGGTCACCAGCTTCACGTAAGGATAACCCTTCATTCAATTTGCCTTAATTACCTTTGCCCACACCACACGTGCACCACCAACCACACGTGTCTCTGTTACATCACATCATTAAATACCTCCAAAGAGCACTATTGCTTCAGAAGTAAAATTCAAATCAGGTCAAATTGTTGGATATGAGATATTTGAACGACTGGTTCTTTGAATCATTTTGCTCAGATACTTATCCTTTTGAATAAGGAGATCGTATTTGGCCACACAGATCACATCACCTTTGTGTGCACGTGTGCGTAATTGGCTCTGTAGATACAGCTCCACACGTGTGCATGTTTTGACGCGAGCATTTTGGTGGACAGGTGGGTGGCCGACGACGACCAGGTGGTCAACTTCCCGACGGTACGGATGAAGTCTGGGATGCCTGTGCGTGTCACGAGGAAGAAAAGAAGGTAGCATTTGACCGGCTCTCCTCCGCACGTGTGGTGTCGTAGCCTCCTAGCTCAAATATATTAAGTAATATTTTATTCGCTGGAAAATATCATATTAAATTAAAAATAAGGCACAATATTATATATTTCTCCTTTTTATTGTGTCTTATTTATTAATTAATATTATATTTTCGTTTACTTAAATAATATTTATGTGTCTCACGAAGAGGAGAGACTACCGTTTGGTCCAGTGAGGTGGTCGGCTTTTGTAGTCTGCTTTGTGCTTTACACGGATTCTGACACACCCACGTGTGTGCAACTTTGACTCCCACGTGCGTTGAAGCGTCTGACAGAGCAGCGAAGGGAAAGGTCCACCGGCAAGTTACGCCTAGATGGTAAGTGGAGGAAGTGACTTCCTGGGAAGTGGAGCACTTCAGAAGTGGGTGGTCAAGAGAGGCGGGCCCCCTTAGCGGCCCAAAGCTTAGAATGGGCCGAGCTCACTTTATTATGTTTTGTGATCGATCTGTCGTGAAATGGACGTTTAGGATTGAATCGAGGTATGACGTGTTGGATGCTGGACCGGTTGATTGATATTGGGTCTATGGTGGAGAATTTCAAATTTTTTCTACAATATAAGAATTGTGTGATTATATTTATATACTTGTAAAGTGGTGTAAATTTATACAATTTTATGAAGTTGATCAAATCTTTCTCAGATGTCGCTAAGTACTATTTGATTTCATTGTTTGCAATTTTAGTTGTGCTTTGTTTATTAAAGAATATTTTCAGTTTATAGTACAAAAAATACTATAGTCATCTCAAATAGATGCTTTATTATAATAGCATATAAATATATGATTCGACCGTTCATATACTAACATGAATATATAAGTAAAATAACGTTTTGTATGAGACAGCTTTTTATTGCTTCTAAAACAATTTTTTAGTATAAAAATTTTTAAAATTTTTTTTTACAAAGTAGTAATAAAACTGTTCAAAACGAAGCTTAAATATATATAAATGCAAGTAGGTAGCAAAAAATGTGTAATAACATTTTGATGTGGTTAAATTCCCACTTGTTGAACTTATGTGTGTTGAGAAATTAAGACTTTATTTGGGATAGCTTTTCTGCTGCTTTTTAAAACAGCTTTTTAGTATAATAAGTAAAAAATTTATACTAAAAATTTGATTTAAAAAGCAATAAGAAAGTCGTCATAAGCGAAACCTCTCTCTCTCTCTCTCTCTCTCTCTCTGCCGCCACCATGCGTGTAGAAGATTTTATGCAATCTCTACTCCGAAAAGTTTCATAAAGTTTTTTATGAAGTTGTTGTAGGGAAAGTAAATTTGTTATTATGATTATGAAAATTAGCATTTCAACCTAAAAAAATTTGAAAAGTAGTAAGAAAATAAAATTATAATTGTTTAAAAAATAAAGCTCTTATAAAGTTATCATAAACAAACTCTTGGACTGTTCCAATATATGTAAAGGGTTAAAAAAAGACCCTCAAATGGTTATTGAAAACCTTACTCAATAGTCTCATTATTTATCATAGATTCTGATGCAATGGTCACAAGTTTATGTCACGCCTATGTTATATTATTAGCTAAATAATTTTTACTTTTTTGTACAGATTTTGATCTGCTACTAGAATTGTGACCTTCGTTTTCGTAACTAGCCTCATCTTATATAACTTGATTTATCATCCAAAAATTACCTTGATTGAGCACGAATCTTGATGCAAAATCAAGTTGAAAGCTTTAAGAATTAAAATTGAGACCATCTGAACTCTGAGTTCTACAAACTTATAGTCGAACTGAGCGTCTCGGAAACATGAATCCAACGACACAAAAATCAACTCAACCCGAGCCCGAATGAGTCCAAATCAAGGACCTGAAGCGCTGTTGGAAGGTTCAAACCACAATTTGGATTAACAAACGGTTTCCAAAAGTGACATGCTTATAGTCGAATCGAGCGGCTCAACGAGACGAATCCAACAAGCCCAAGATCGCCAAATTCCGATATCATTAAGACCTTCAAATGTCTGTAGAACGGTCCATAGTCATGGGAATCAAGATCGGCCGTCCATCCGAACCACTCCCAATTTACCCTTGATCTTCCACTTATTTACAAGACATATCACTCAAGAATTATATAAATAGAACCTCATTTCCTCTTAAAAGGGGGGAGGAAGGCAAGAGAGAAGAAGGAAGAAAGCTCAAGCCGCCTAGCTCCTCCTCGACCACCGCCGGACCAACAAGGGACGTCGGGGTTCTGCCGCACCACCGTTGGACCACCAAGGGACATTGTGGTTCTACCGCACCACCGTCGGACCACCAAGTGATGTCGGGGTTCTACCGCACCACCGTCGGAGTTCTGCCGCACCACCGTCGGAGTTCTGCCGCACCTCCAAGGGAAACTGGAGCTTTGATACAACATCGCCAGGTTCTATTTAACCACCACCAGCCATCCAAGGACGTCGAAGTGTCATCCGAAGCTGGAGTGCCCTTTGACGCTGAAGTGCCACTGGCGGACCACCACTTGACACGGGACTGTCGTCGGACCACCACCTGAGCCTGAACTTCTCCCGTACCACCACCTGATGCCCAGAGTTCTGCCGGAGTATCGTCCTCCTACTACGGTCCTTCTGAACTTCCTCGCAAGACAACGGCCTTTCTAACCCCGGTCTCCTACCGACTATAACCCTTCCGACTTATGTTGCCTACTACGGTCTTTCCGACCTTTGTTCTATCAACTATGGTCCTGCCAACCAAATAAATATGACTATATTGATATGCTCTATATGATGTATATTTGTGACATCAAGCCAAGACCTTCTCCTAAGGAAGGGCCTCATTTGTAATCAACTATAAATACTAGTGGAATCATTTTCAACTGGGCTAGGCCCCGTGGTTTTTTCCCTTTCCAGCGTTTTCCACGTAAAAAAATATTTTGTTCTCTGTGTGTGAGCTGGATATCCGTGCAACGCTAAGACGTAGAATTATAACTCTATCACCGCGTATATTCTAGCCCGCAACATAACTAATATTGTAGCTTATGTTTCATTTTGAACAACTTTTTTATTGTTTTTTAAAGTATTTTTTAGTACAAAATTTTAATTTTTTTACGAGAAGCTGCTTTAAGAAGCAGGTTAGAAAGACGTCCCAAACGAAGCCTCGTTGGGGATGATTATCTTACTATTTTTTATTAAAGCTTCCTAATTCAAAAATTAGTCGAAGAAACTAAAAAATAGTGGCCAAATACTATCCCAAATAATGTAAGATTTAGAATATATATTTTTCCCTTAAAAAAAGCATGTTAATAATAAGACGAAAATTAAGTTTTAGCTTTACATAGAAAACTATTAAATGAGTGATAAATTTACAAAACCACAAAGAGAGAGAAATGCATTAACCTAAATTTTTACTGCAACTAATGTTCTTGTGTTTTGAATTTGTTGACTCAATTTGTACAAGGCTCAATGGTTTGGATCAAATCCGATCAAATTTATGGGATATAATAGGCTAACATATTAAAAGGAGTCATTTGCAAATCCATAGTTTTCATCAAATTTAAAAAAACTAACATATTAGGAGCTATTCACAAGTTACATTGACCTTCTTAGTCATCTTAAAATTGAACCTTGTCATTTAAGACCTACCCTTGACTTTAAGCTATAATCTAATGGACATCATAGGCTGATTTACTCCAAAATAAGCTTTTTTTTTTTAACATATTGGATGCAAGACCCGATATAAAATAAAATAGCAATGGTTGTACATATGACATCAGCAAGAAAAATATTTATATCGTAGCGCACAAAAGTGGCGAAATGAATCAAGCACCAACTAATGAGCATCCTAGCTAAACACAACCTAACAAGTCATATGCCATGCATAAAAAAATTCTTCTAGCAAAGTGTAAACCTAATTATATTCTCACAGTACTAAACCACTAAGTGGTTGTAACCTATCATAGCACCTAAGTATTTGCAAAAGCTTTAGTATAACTGGATCAACTCATGTGATTGTGACATGTTACTAGGCTTATTCATCTCAAGAATCCAATCAAACTAAGGTCTACCACCTTAACATTTTTAATAAATTTTTTAAAGTTGAATTTTAAAATGATTTGATATTTTTGAAAGAATTTGAAAATATATGGATAGTTTTTTATAAAATTTCAAAGACTAAAATTTAAAGGTTTTTCAAATATTTTATCCTTATCTATGGCCTAAAATAATAAATTTTTTTTTTATAAAATTAAAGTGACATTCCATATATGAGATCAGGTTATGATAAGATTATTATTATTATTATTATTATTATTATTAAATGGACTATCATCAAATAAAGATAATCAATTTATTATGTCCAAGAATTATGCCCTAAAATTATAGAATCATCCTACCTAAGCAACATAAACTAAACCTTATGTATATGTAAGGGAGAGAAATTGAGACAATTTACTATCAAACTTAGGATTCAAATGTTTAAATATAGTATAAGTACTTAAAAATAGAAAGATTCTTAACATGTAGAAAGTAAAGACTTTATTTTTAAAGGAAAGGAATAATATGAGCCAAAGTGTATATCCAAAATCAAAATTGTTCATCCATATAGTATGATTGGATAATAGAATAGTCTGATCAAAAGTATTTGACTTAATCAGGACAAAACTCAATCAAATGTAATGTGATTAGGTTATATGAGTTACTAAAAAGCAAGACAATTAAGTAAATATATTAGCAAAGTTAAACAGGCATTACCCTAACGTAAGAGAGGGAGAGAGAGATAGCCTAACCCAAAGTTTATAGCTAGATCAGATAGCATAAAGCGCACAACTATACAAATAATGAACTAAGCCAAAATGGCATGACTAGCCAAGGATCTTTCTAAGCTAAAAGATCATGGTTAAGTATGGTGGGCAATATAGCTAAGAGGTTTATTGCTAGACTAGCAAGTTAAAATGAATTCAAGATATCAATAAGATGATGGAATACATGTCACTAATTTAAATAGAGAAGACCAACATGACCACTAGTAGTGTATTAAAGAGTAATGCGACATATAATGTCACTTGGGCCTAAAAGAAGCTAGGATAAACTATCTTAGAATATTGTCTTTGTTATCCTAAGAAATGTACTACCTTACTAGTGAACTCATCAATAATGATAATCTAATCAATGTGTTCAAAAAGTGACGAGTAGGTAGGGCTGCAAACGAACCAAGCGTTTGATGTGCTACTCGTTGTTCGGATCGATTAAAGCTCGTTTGTGATCGTTTAATCAACTAAACAAGCAAACTTGAACAATATTTTAAATACTCAATTCTTAAATAAATAAACTTGAACACTAATATGTTCAGCTCATTTATGTTCGCGGACAACATCATTTGAAGCTCATGAACAAGCTCGACATTAAGTTTGATAAGAAGCTCGATAAAAGCTCGATTCGTACTCGATAAAAGCTCGATTCGTACTCGATAAAAGCTTCATTTAAAAATGTGTTCATATTGATTAATGTTATTTTCATTTTATATAGACATTTGATTTTATTATAAATGTGTTTGTTCATAGATATGTTCATGAACATGTTTGTTTGATAGTTTAAAAAAATTCATTAAATATGTTCACGAACATGCTCGATGTAATCGTTTGTTAAGAAGCTCAATAAAGCTCGTTTATTAAGTTAATGAACATCTAAAAGTAGAGCTCGTTTATAGCTCATTCATGCTTGTTTGTTTAAAGCTCGATAAGCACTAAACAAATCGAACATTAACTGAACATGAACACTCATTAATTTAAATGAACCAAACATGAACACAAGCAATAAAGCTTGAACAAATATGAACCAAACTTGAACAAGCTGATATTAAATAAACACAAACATGAACACTCGCATACTCGGCTCGGCTTTAACCAATCTTGACTACATGTCGTAAAGTTGAAATCAAAGCCAATTAAATTAAAATCCTAAAGTGAGGTGCAAAGACCATATGATCTAAGACCATATAATCCAAGTTAACTATGACACTATACAAGGGTTTACATACTATTATAAAAAATATTTTGTTGTGAGCAACTTCTAATAAACCAAATGAAATTTGGTTTTAAATATTTTAAATTTCTCAAAATAGCTTTAAGTTTTTGTTAAAAAACTTTAAAATTATTAAATAGTTAAAACTGAAAATATTCAAACACAAAAAAAAAATGATAGTTAAAAAACTAGAAATTTGAAGTTTTGGAAATTAAAAATTCAAACTCAAGTGGATGGTCAAAGTCAAATTCTATTTTTTCTTAATTAAGTATAAATAAAAAATAGGAAAAAATTTAAAATAGTTAACCCATAGTCAAATTGGGCTGACTAAGCTTATAAATATATATATAATTAAGTTGAAATACTTTCTTAAATATTATGAGTCTTTTTTATAATTATTTAAAGTATCAAATAACGTAAGAAGATTCTCAAAATATTTAAGGGTGTTAAATATTTTGCTTTTAACTTTGTTAAGCTCAAAATAAGCCTTAATTGATTAAAACTTATATTTCTTTACTATTAAAAAAGGGTTTAGTAGCCGACCCCACGTAGTGGGATAAAGGCTTGATGTTGTTGTTGTTGTTGTACTATTAAAAAAGGGGCATTTTAATAATTATAAATATATTACATGATCCACTTACACCCAATACACATAAAATTTAAAGCAAGTGCTCATGCATCCGAAAATCAAATTCCTAAATAATTTTAATTATTAATATAATTAATGCAAAAATAATAATTGATATGTCACCTTAAATCATCTTGATTGGGCCCGCGCGAATCTCAAGGCATATCTGAATTAAAAACTTCTAAAATTAATTTCGGAACCATCCAAACTCCAATTTTGACAAAGATATAGTCCAATCGAACGCCTCAATGAGACGAGCCTAGTGACACAAAAATCAGTCTAATCCAGGCCCAAATGGGCTCAAATCAAGGGCTTAAAGTATATTTGAAAGCTCTGAGGCATTCATTTGATGACAAAATGATATTCAAATATGGCATGTTTATAATCGAATCAAGTAGCCGATGAGACAAATCCAACTAGCCTAAGATCACTTAATTCCAACATCATTCAGACATGTAAATGTTGAATGAATGATTCATGATTGAGGAGATCAATGTGAGTTGTCCAATGGACCACTCCTAATTTACCATGATTTTTTTTCCATATTTACAAAATATGTCACTCTCAAAATCTATAGATAGACCCCCCTCCCACATGAGAGGGAAGTGAGGACATTTGAAGGTATAGATCTTAAGCTAGAGACTCAAAAGAGCTCGGAGGCTTCAAGCATCCCGGAGCTCCACCCTGGCAACACTACCAACGAACCCTCACCACCAAACTACCGCTGCTCAATCTCTAACCGACCATCACCATCGAACCTCAGTCCAACAGCCATCACCAAGACTTCATCTGACCACCATCACTTGACCACTGTCACCTACCGGATACTATCTCTCCAACCACCATCACATGTTGGCTATAATCCCTATGACTACCGTCATCGTCAATTATAGTCCCTTGGTCCTCCATTGATAGCCTACTATAATCCCTCTGACCTTCGTCACCTACCAACTACAATATTTCATCATCAATTATTTTAATTATTTCAAAATTATCTTTTTTATTTTAAAAATAAAATAGTTAAAACAGAGACGCTATTAAAAATTTTATTTAAAAAACACAATCCCAAACAGGTTCTAAGATGCATGATATTTTACACGGAATAAATGGTTTTAATCTAGATATGAGATTCATAACAATTATCTCTGCCATCAAAAAGCAGGCCCAAAATTGCAAAGAGAAATTATTCCCTGCAATCATCAGACCGTTCAGAGAAAAATCGGGATGTATCAACCCGAAACACAACGGTATACAGCCCCGATACATAACAAATAGTAACGTGGAGCATCCTAATTTGCATATGGAAGGCATCCGATGACTACACGTAATAAATAAACAATTACAAGTGGGATTTCGACAGCAAATTCTTTAGCAAAGCTTTCTTACAACTTTCTATATCTCCTTTTAAGTACAAAATTTAAAAAAATTTTATACTAAAAACTAATTTATAAAGAAAATAATAAACTCTCCCAAACAAAACCTTGATTTTTATTTTTAAAGGCCTGTTAAGCACAATGACTGCATTGAAATTTAATACAATGAAAGAGTTGGCAACAGTTGGAGAGGGCGCTAATCTGAATCAATTCAAACAAACCTGGAGCAGCTCAAACTTTGAAGTTCAAACACCAGACCATGGTAATTAAATTTTCTTGATTATGGAAACTCAAATCATACAGCATGACTTCCAAGTCCTCTAGGAACATAAAACAGTAGAGAAGCCCAACATGACACCCCTAGTGCAACTTTACAGCCCAGACCAAAAAAGGCAGAATGGGCAAATATTTAGGGCAAATTATTCTATGCAGAGACCGCACACAAGCTTAAATTCGGATTTGCTGCGTTTTTACTGCGCTTTCTCTGTATTTTTGCGAAAGGCAGCTAATAGACAATTTTAATTACGTATTAGCTGCCCTTTTGCTGAGCATTTGCAAAAACGTAGCAAAAAAACAGCAAATACTCAATTAGTAAGATATTTGCTGCGCTTTTGCTGTATTTTTGCTAAAGGATAGCTAATATGCAATTAAAATTCTATATGAGCCGCCTTTTGCAAAAATACAGCAAAAGCGCAACAAATCCGAACATAAGCTTGCTTGCGACCTCCGCCCAAAATAATTTGCCAATATTATTTAGAGAGTAACTGTAGCTATAACCGAGTTCCAGATGAATAAAAACAGCAGAAAAATTACCTAGTTATGTTTTGCTCTTGAGCTTCCTGTGTGCTTTGAGATCAACCACGACTATAGTAATGTTGTCTTTGCTACCCTTCTGAATTGCAAGTCTTGAGAGATAATCTGCAGCTTCTTGTGCAGCAGGATCAGCCCCCGCAGCCCTTTGAGTTGAACGAGTTATGCCACTATTCTTTTTGTGCCACAGCAAAATCCTCTTTCGAGCAGCATCGCACGCCTCTTCATTGGACATGACGTCCCATAAACCATCGCTGGCTAAAATTAGGCATTCATCTTCTCGTGCGCGAGGAACGATGACGACCTCTGGTTCAGGAATTATCCATGGTTTCAAATATCTATCGCCTGCAAGTAAAGAAAGCGATACAAATTTCTTCAGGATAGGAATTGTTACAACAAAAATTATAACATTCATAACTTGTAAGAAGATAACAAACAGGATTCATATAAATTAGACGCAAATGGGAAGTGAAACAGTTTTATGGCTTCCATCAGTGGGGCCATCTTTTCCAATATGTAGAACGCTCCAGGCGTAACGAGAGAGCTCCCATATCGATCAAGAAAAAGGTAGTCTCGAGTCTATGCTGGATGTTGTGGATGTTCACGTTTATTCGCAACTGATGTTTATGGAGACAAATATGTAATACATTGTTTGAAACACAGGAGGGGTCAGCATCATGGCATACCATTATCATTGTATACCCATGATTGCTTGTGCGGGTATCTTGCATGTTACGTTCGGATCGAGCAAAAGAAAATTCACTTTCTATTCAAAACAGACAGTCCGTTCAAGGGACTTGCTCGAGAGATAGGAAGGAGGCCACATCGTCCAGACAACTACCCTCAGCGGGGATGTCTTATATGTCTCATGTTGGTGTCTATGTTTCACAATTCTCCACTATCAAAGATGATGTAAATCAAGGTTACCCATTACAAGGCCTGCCTAAATCATTTAAAATATATATTTAATTTTCCTTTGTAGTTAACCATTACCCTTCATTAACTACTATTTTAAAGATCAAGAAAACTCATATCATTGGTCAACCCCCCCCTCCTCTTTCCTTTTTTTTCTTTTTCCTCTTTTTTGAATAAAAAGTTAAAGAGGAAAGGTGTTATATTCATCATCCTCAAGCTTGAATTAAATTTTTGGGGCCTGATATTAGATCATTGAAGATATGAGATTCCAAATCAATAACTCGATTAGCCTAATTGTCTATTACAATGTCCAATAGTAATGTCAACAAATGATTGAGTACAATAGCTCCTTGTATCAAATTATTTACTCTGCACCAATACCAAGGTTTTTGTTCCACTTCAACTAATTACACACTAGTTTTTGGCTTTGTTATTCAAATTTGGATTATTAAGGAACTAAGACCATAATTCATTTCATTTGAAACAAAGCTAAATATGTTGACTATGAGTAAAAATATGTGGCAATCTAATGAAGCACTAACACATAGCCAAGACACCATATATTTACCAAAATTTGTAATCTTAAAGAATGAGCATGACCCAAGCTTGGGCATCCCACATGTGTTTTATCTCAAAACCAAATTACATAGCCATGGTTGGTCCCTTAAGTTAGTGCACAACAAACATGTGATAGAAACAATTCAACTTTCCCTATAAAAGACAATTGATTAGCCACTCCAAAGAAGGACAAGAAGATTGCATGCAATATGGAACCACTCGCTTTCCTAAATTTTGTTGACTGAACCCTCAAAGGATAATGAATGATAAAAAATATTTGCTTGCTAGCAAATTGTGCTAAAACTTGGTGTGGCAATCCTCTTCAGAAACTTTGTTGAGTTCCCAAGTTACTATTCCATCTTTACTATTATTTCTCCTTCCACTTTCAACCTAGTTCTTCAACCTTAACCCTAGGTCCACTATCCCTCTCCCCGCACTCCTTAACAACCCTAAAGCCCTCCTCTAGTCATCAATTATCTCCCTCTTATATTAGACCCTAAAAAGAGAGCTCTGGAGCTCTCCCTCCCTCAAGCCATAAAGCAAACCCCAGGTCCTCAAGTCTTCCTTCCACTCCTAATTCTTTATATGGCTCTCTACACCCAAATCCCACCTTGAGCCCTGTCAATCAACCTCCAAAACATCACATATACTCGAGCACTCATCCACTCACAAGACCACAACTACATCCCATTAAATATCCCATCTCGACTTCTACTACTCCTCCCATACAACATCTAAAGCTTACACTATGCCCTCACATATTGGCACCACCCAGAGAGTGCTTTCCTACATCAAATATCCACCCACCAACACCATCACAATCCTTCATGGTTGCATTAGGCAGGGTCTTAGGTACCAAACAATACTAATGATGAACAGCGATGCTCATGTCCCACTATGTATATGGGTGAAGATCACAGTGCAATTATGCCTAATCAATGTAAGCAAAATATTCAAGGCATCATTATAGTGATGAATTAATAATCCAATCCCTGAGAAACATGTAGATCAGGAGACTCTTCAATGAACTCACATTTCCGTCATGAATATCATTTATAATTCAAATTTGGGCAATATCCTTCTCCAGCTTAAAATTAATACATATCTGACCAAAGGAACTAAAAGCCTATCTGAAAATCATAGTATCTTGTTTAGTACATTTATTTATATTTCATACGAAAATAACATAAACCTCACTAGAATGACATCTATTTATATATTGGAACTGTCATTATTCAAGAAAAATATATCATGTGGAACAAATTTGAAGAATTATTGGGAAATGAGAGATGCAACACCAGCTGACACATGCACAGTAATATGACAATATTATAAACATAGGTTTGCTTGGGTACTGTAGTTTACCATTTTGGTTTTTTTTTTTCTCCTTTTTGACATATGTTTCCCTTCTACAAGCTTAACAAACTTCCATTTAATATCTTTATAGTTATACAACCTGAACCATTATGCTGATGGTCTTATACCCTTCCGGGAAAAAAATTCACCAGAGTAATGCTCCATCAACAACTCTTTCTCACTTCATTGCTAACATACATCAAACTAAAATATTTTTCTTATCTGTCAGTAACAAACTTAAAATAACATAGGGATGATGCAGGTTGATCAACATGGGTAAAAGCCAACGTCTGATGCCCATAAAAGAATAATTACAAAAAGAATTCTATTTGTCTCAATGTTTCTTTATAGCTGAAAGAAATAAACTACTTTAGCCATATCATTACAAGTCCTAGTAGATCGTCACCATGTTATCATCACATACCACCTTACTGAGGTAGAATGAATATGTTGTGAACTCAGGCAGTTCATTGATATAATTCACACTGCTAGCAGAGGAAATGTCAGAAAAAAAAACTAGTCAATTTTGTCATATCTTGCTCAAGCAGAATATATGTGTTGAACTCAGATAGGTTTTTGCTATAAACCACATTGCCAGTGTCAGGCAAAACATGCTAATCTTTTCATATAAAACAAATTGATTGGCATATCATGTAATCATAGGCAATGAGCTCTTGCTTAATCTGCTGAGTATTTCTTTTAGTTCATTAAACAAAGTGCAATCATGCGCTCCTAGAGGAACACTTTTAAGCTTACCAAACAAGCAAATCACCATCATTGAGAAGAAGTAGTTTAGTTCCTTTTCAGATAGGGTTTTTATCCCCCCCCCCTATTTGACATGATAATAGATACATCAAAAACGTTTGCAGCATGTTCCATGACCTCATTGCCATCAGAGAAAAAATCAGGAAAAACTGCTAATTTTGTCCTTTAGGACAAATCCACTAGTATATCATGTAATCATTGGCAATGACTCTTGCTAAATATTCTAAGTAATTCTTCTAGTTCATTTCCTTATGTGCAATTATGCATTAAGCATTACTCCTGTAGAAATACTTTTAAACTTACCAAACAAGCAAATCAGTATATCTATACCCAATGGAAATCGCATAACGATATTGAACATCATTGAGGAAAAAAGGATTTAGCAAATCAGCCCCTACTTTATATGACAATAGCTACAATAAAATAAGTTTAAGTAACATGTTACATGCAGAACAAATACCAATTAAATGTTCAAACAGAAATGCATCCTTGTACTTCAATGTGGCAGGTATGGGTCCTTGAAGTGTAATTTGATATAACACCAATCATATTTTTAAAATAGAAGATAGCGTACAAGAGAGTAAGGTTTACCAATGATAGCTCTTCAGGACTCTAAAATATTAACGAAAATTAAAATTTGACCGAATTAGTAGTGGATAACAAATGATCAAGCTGAGCTCCATCCAAGCTGTCATACATTAGATATTGCATATCAGCCAGAAGAATGAGTTAAGAAACCAAAGTATGAAACCTTTGAACGTTAAACAATATGAGCCAAATAGTGATCAAAGTTAAGCCTCCAATAAAGCAATGGTCAAATATATTTTTCAAAAAAAGCCTAAGCCTATGGAGATTATTCACTTGTATTTCTACACCAACAAATTTCCACCAATATGATGTAAGATAAAACCCAATACTCTCATGCCCTAACAATCTTCCCCTGAGAGAGCTCCTCACATTAGTCATCACTCCTTTTTAAACAAAACATATTCAAGCTCATCAAATATTCTGACCAAAAACCCACAACTAGTCAAGCTAACATGGCAATCAGTTGCTCTTGAGCCTTGCTCGACCATGATAAAAGCTGGAAAGACCAATGGGAGCCAAATAAATCAAATGAATCACTAAATCCCAACATAACCTTTGGGCTCTGAAACAATTAATTAGAAAATTGTGGACCACAAGGAGACTAAAGTTGGGCCTAATGCACGAATGGTAAAACTCAATTTCAACCAAAAAATGTTAGCCCATGGGAGAGGGCTATCCATCTTTTTTTTTTCTTCCTTAATAAAAAGAAAATACAAGGTCTGCACTGTCCATAAAAAAGAGGGCCAACCACTTGGTATTTTTCAACCGGCAAAATTTTCACTAATCCAATGTGAGATTGAACTCAATTTTATCTAGTGCTTTGGAAAAAAAAAAATGTCCCATCATGAATTGATATCAAATTATTCCCCCCCCCTATTTTAGATTTCCGTATGTCAAGTATGACATATAACTAATTGATCTAATATGGGTAGGCATGGGTCTATGCATTCAAATAGAAATTGCAAGCTACCCTTACCTTAGTAAATCCAAAATTTTAAACTAAAAACTAAGGGTACCAAAAGGAAAATGGTAAGACTTCCTAATCCTTACTAATAGTGGTAATAAATGCAGTTGGAAAGGCAAGAACGTATAAAACGGATTAAACACTAAATGATAAGATTTATCCCTTACCCAATAGTTTGATAAATGGTTCAAAACTTATTACAACTCTCAAGAAAGAGGTCAGTGGACAGGGATTCTAAACAATTGACAGGGGTTTTAATTGGAAAAAAAAAAATCCAAAAAGAGAAAACAGGACTAAAGGATGACTCTTAAACCTGCTCATGCAATTGGGATAATGGAGCCCTTTACTTGGCTGTTTACATTCCCAGATGAAAAGACGGTTATATCAACATAAATAATTCTAAATTAAAGTTTTACAGAAATAATTATAACTACTATGCAAACCAACATTAAAAAAACTTCAGTTTTCGTGGTTTCAAATTCAAATACTTTAGAAAATAGACCAGCTTACATACCAATAGACCTTGACATTGCAAGGACACCAAATACACGGGATCCATACCACTGGATCACTTTGCCTCCTGCAGCTTCAATTCTTTGATACTCGTCCTCTCTGTCCGGCTTGAGTTTAAAGGTAAGAAAATATGAGAGTCTACTTGTCAGTTATTTATTTTTTATAAAATCAAGAATACATGCAGAAATTGACCTAAAAATGAAAACCTTACTTTATGGTCAACTGATAAAGGTATTGCTTGTTTTCCACAGTATAGAACAGCTCTTGAATCTCCACAATTAGCCACAATAATGTGTGATGAACAGATTACAGCAACTACAGCAGTAGATCCAACAGTCTCTGGAGCAATGGTTTCTAAAGTAATGGCAGAACCATGGCCACTATCAACAAGAGAGGCGCTTGATGTGTTTCCTTCTAAACTTCTACTTACTCCCCCACTTACCTCATCATCAACTTTTTGAAAGCAATTGATGAAAACAGTTTCCCACTTTCGCTGCCAACCATCGCCTTCAATTCCAGTGGAACCTTTATTCATATTCTTTATCTCCTCAGCTAATGCAAAATGCATGCGATCCTTGCAGTAGTTAGCGACCTGCAAAACAGAAACAAAAACGCTTGGAAATCTCCTTTTTTATCATTAAGGAGGACTAACAAGAACGCAATGAAAACTAAAGAACAGTAACAAAAGAATACCTGAGCGCCACCATGACCATCATAGACTCCAAAAAAATGGCCAGGTAAGCAGCCAGAGTTCATACAGATATCATCCACCACTGAACCACTAGTAAGCATGCTGAATGGAATTTCATGAAACCATGGCATAGCAATAGCGGCATCTTCCATTTCAGGTCTCCTTCCGCATGTAGATACGCACCCCCAAAGAGGAGCATAATCCAATGCAAAAACACTACGCCTACCCCTTAAACTTACCAGGCCTTCATGTATGTTGATGTCAGCAAATGCTGGCACTTTCAGATCATCAGTCTTTGAGCTTATGCTCACTAAACTAGCACTCAGTTTCCCGATAGAAGACCCAGCAATAATCTCGACGCCAGTGATGATGCTCTTCACAGTAGCTTCTATGCAACCTGAAACACCAATTAAGGCTGTATCTGAATCCAACAACTCTTTAGCAGCCGTTATGATGCTGCTATCATCGCTGATAGCCAAGCAGGAGCTCTCCACCAGCTGCTCCATATCAATAGAAACTACAGACGCCTCATCTTCACATCCTGGTAAGGCCCTTGCTTCCAAATCCTCAGAATCACCTCTTTCCACAATTTCCGCAACATCGTGTACTTCCATCTCGAGTGAAATACTACGTCCAGAACCTTCTGCTATCAAGTTAACTTCTTCTGAATCAGACAACAAGCCTGCAGTGTTAGCCATCACTCTGAGGCCTGTAATCTGCATTGGAGTATGTCGGACCGAATTCCTAACATTAACATGAAGAGCAAGCACGAGAGAACTCTCCTCCATCAAACGCCCACCCCAAATTGCTCTCCTCAAATTGCCAGTAGTACGTCAGGTAATAATATCCTTCAAAACTCTTACAAACCGCACATCCTTTCATTTCTCAAACCTGCCTTCTTCCTCCTCGTCATCGCCTGGACATGTTTACCCTGCAAAGTTCAGCGGCTTCACTGGGTTTCTTAAGATTTTACCAAGAGCAGAGCACCCTAAAAGCACAGAACCACCGAGATCCGATCACACAGCTCTTTTATAGACACAAATTTTTAATAATGGCTGCCAAGCATAACCAAGACATCATCTCCAGAATTAGTATAAATCCTAGAGTCTGCAAAGCTGATCGATCGCATGATAAACAACTAAAAAAGAAACTATTACAAGGGGTTACAAAATCCCTACCTCATCCTGAAGCTTGTGAAATAAGAAGGCCGAGAAGTCCTACAGGCATAGGAGACAAATCCTACGGAAGCCGAGGCTCGTAGATCGATCACATAGCAAACAAAAATGGACGTGCCACTTTCCAAACACCACTTCCCTGGATCTGAATAAATCACTCAAACCACAGCATCCATCCGAAAATCATACGTCCTCACACTTGCTCTTCACCCTCTCCATCTCTTCCATTACACGCGAGCTCCAACTCAAAGAAAACTCTCCAGCACTTCCCTCTCAAGAACGAATCCGAGTCGAATGCGAAGATGCGGTTAGGATTTGATCTTCTTCCAAAAACAAAATGTACTTCCGCTCAGATTTCCACCTCCACCCCCAACAAATTGTGGGGAAGAAGAACAAATTTAGCAAGCCTACAGCTCACACAGGCGGGCGTCCTTCTCAACTACCCTTTTCCGGTGCGAACTTTGGAAACCGTAGAAGAGAAAGATAGAATACGAAAGGGAAGCAAGAGGACAGGTGTCGGGTGCCACAGCTAAAAGTACCAAAAGGTCCTCGTTCCTTATTCTAATGGCATCTCAACCTTCGCCAAGTCATCACCCGTTGGTCGTGGGACCCATCGTGAAAGAAAAAGGAGTCGATAGGACGACCACGTCGACGGCACGCTACCGTCGGATGAGCGGCGCTCCGATCCGGCGGTCGCCGGCAATTTCGTGGGGCCCGCCGTTTACAAAACTCAAATCATAGCACATTTAGGTGTTAGGGACACGTGGCCTACAGTGCAGCACATGTTGCCACAAAATTAAGTTCACGTACAGTTTTGCCCTCAATCGGTGGCGTCTCCGTAAATTCGTGGACATGTAGGGGGCATGAAGGGGAGGGGAGGAGGAGTTGAAGCGGAGAAGACGGCAGGCTAACGGCGGGTCGATGTCAAGGCTATTGCGTGTGCACTTCTAGCCCGAGCATCTGACGTCGGAGATACCAGACGTGGGTAGCCACGCGTCCCGCCCAACCGACCGGGATGCCGAGAGCCGTCACGGGATTTCTCTGCCACGTGGTGGACAATCGAGCATCCCGCCCGCGGATTTTTGTTGAAAATCTTGTAAACTAGCAGAAAACAGGAAAGGAAAGAAGCTGAACAGTGCTTGGATTGGATTTGCTTTAAAAGTTGCACGAAAGCTAGGATCTCAAGTTCTCCGTGATATATAAATTTAATTGGTTATACACGAATCTCAGAATAAATCCGAGGGTTATAAAATACTATTTCTGATATTTCTTTTAGCATTTCTAGAACAAAGGTTTTCAATTCTAAGCGCCATTCTAAATTATGGTCGGTACGCATTTCTCAAAAATTTCTCGTTTGTTGAGTTATTTATTTATTTATGAACTTACTTGTTACCATGTTTATATTGTGTTATTTTTATGCTTTATAAATTTGATCGATGCAATATTTATGTTCTTTGATTAGTTTGATATAATAATGGAATGTGGAATGATGTTATTGTAGGAAAATTTCTTGTTTTTTTATAGTTTTTAATAATTTTATTATTTATTACATCATCCGGTTCGACCCCGGTTCGACCAGTCGAACCGGTCGAACCGTGAACCTCTCCTTCTTCCGGTTCGTTGTCCGGTCCGGTTTTCAAAACCTTGGTATTACATATTGAATATTTAAATTTTAATTTCTCATTTTTTAAAATATATGCAAAAATTTATATTTAAAATTAAAAATATTACATTCTAAAAAATTGGAGTCAATAGATTATATAGTATATATCTCATTGTTATAAAAAAAATTCAGCACCCACAAATAAAAATAATAAGAATAGAAATTTTTACATGAAAATTTCAAAAAAGGAAAAAATCATGGTGTCTGATCTAGTTGAAAAATCTACTTAGTAAGTGATACAGAAATTCTCTTTTATTTATTGTTGATGAATAGAATGTTTAAAAAAAAGTTTTTTTTTACTTGAGAGAGACTACAAAAATCAAATATTTATAGAGGGGCAATTAAAACTCAATAACATAGCTTGAATTTTTCAATAGGAATTATATAAAACAAATGTTCATATGTTGATATATATATCTAACAACACAGCTAATTCTTGTTAGTATTCTAGAGAAAGTGATAATTTCTTATGCTTTTTTTTCAGTGGCAATGATAATTATCAGAGATAATAATTGATAGTGGGCATCGATAGTGATGACTAAAAATTGCAAAAGATCTCTCTATTTTTTTTCCTCTAATGATGAGGACTTATTTATAGATTTTTAGAGTGGTATGCTCCATAACTATGAATAGGATCAAAGTAAATTTTGAGTGCTCCATTAGATGGTCCATATTGATTGTCTCGATCATAGAGCATTCTCCAAGCATATGTGTCTTAAGGATGTCAGAATTAAGTGATATTGGGCTTATTAGATTTGATTTGTCAAGTCGCTCGATTTGATCATAAGCATGTCATATTTAGAGATTATTTGATTGTTCAACTAATACTTTGAAATTTTCAAATATGCTTCGGTCCCTTGATTTGGGCCATTTGGGCTCGAATTGCACCAATTTTTGTTTCGTTGGGTTTATCTCATCAAAACGTTCAATTTTACTGTAAGTTCACTGAAATCCGAGTTTGGATGTTCCCAAATTTAATTTTAAAAATTTTCAATTCAAATTTGCATCAAAATTCATGCTCGACCAAGGCAATTTTTTGCGAGGCATCCAAAAACATTAATATTAGCATCATTTTTATGTAATTTAAAGATTAGGTTATCATATATGTTAAATATTAGATATGCAAATGCATAAAAATTCTATGGCACATATGTAAATCCCTCTTTTCTATATTTCGATTATCTCACATTATCACAATAATAGCATAGATTTAATCACTTTTTATTTAATAAAAAGTATTAATACTAATGAAATAAATCTCCACATATCTATGGAAGAGAAATCTAATAATTCCCCTATTTTATTTGTCATTAGTTTAAGAATCGAAATGATGGAAGGGCCTTATGGAATTTATTGGAGAGAAGAGGAGGTGAAGGCAAAGTTGAGAAGACAACGAGTGGAGAGAAGAGGAGATGAAGGCAAAGTTGAGAAGACAACGAGTGGAGATTAGTGAGTGGATAGCAAGTGGAGTCCAGTGAAACAGCATGAGTAGTAGCAATAAGGCTTGGGTTCTGAAGGATAGAGAAGAGAACCATATGCATCGATTACAATGAGGAGAAAGGGGAGATGATGCAGAACACGTAGTCATGTTCAAGCATGCAATTGGACATTCATTATTTCAGTATGTTAAAGATAAGGAGGCAGTGTGATATGAAAAAAGAGAGATAATTCTTGACATGTAAGACAATCAATATGTGGCTAACATCTTGATTCTAATTTTGAAATCATAAAATTATTATTTAATTAAAGAATAACTAGGCAAATACAAAAAGAGGAGAAAGGAGAAGCTTCTCTTACTTCTTTGAATACAGTCTAAATATAGACACTTCTTTTACTATTATAAGGTTTTGTTTGGGACGGTCTTTTACTATTTCTTAAAGCAGCTTTCTAGTTCAATTTTTGTTCTAGAAAGTTACTTTAAGAAGCATTAAAAGAAAGTCATCCCAAACGAAGCATAAGTCACCATCTAAGATCTCTCAACTTCTGAATTATTCAAAGACAATTTATCTTCTTATATCTCCCCTTTATTTAAGCATTGTGATTGTGGTTAGAAACTCAAGAAGAGAAATATCACGATAAAAATAAATATCTCATAGGCTAAAAAATGAAACTAAACGATGCAATTGTTTTCTAAATAATTTGTGAATGAATGCAATATACTACCTCATGAGATAGAAGACATGGCTCTTCAAAAGACAAATAAAAACCTCCCCTCTCTAGGACAAAAAAAAAATACTATATGGGGTTTATTATATTTTAGGGTTTCAATTCCCCATTTGAGCAACTTATCTTCATCCTAAATAGTTAAGACTTACAAAAACTCTTTGCAAAGGTGTGAAATATAGTTTAAGATCTTAATACTAATTAAAAGGATTAAGCTTCAAAGGTTTCAAGCTAAATTAATATGATCAACTAGGAAAATAAATTAAAAATTAGATCAAAGGAAAATAGAATAGGAGCACATAACTTTAAGCATTTAAGATGCTCAAAGAAAACTATCCCAAGTTGGGAATTATGTTTTAGAAGCATAATTAAATTTAAGTTTTGGTTGATTAAATTATTAAGATATGATTTAGAGGGGCAAATCCATCCTCCCTGTAAAGAGTAGATAAAATAAGATTGTGAAATGCATAATCTTATAAAAAATATTTATCTTAGTATTTGGGAAGTCATATTTATTAAAGGTGGGCAAAATAGCTAAAATATTTATTTTTCTAAGAAAAAGAAAATATTTCAGGGCGGTCAATTTTCCACCCTGATCTCTTCATGGTGCCACCCTTGGTTAGATCCCCCTTAACTAGTAATAACAATATCACTAGAGAATAACCCTCAAGAGGACATGATATGTCTAAATTAAGGATTTAAGCCTCGATGATATATCTATAATAGAAACTTAGTGCACCCGTAAGATGAGACCCTCTACTTAAAACAAATGTGAGCATGTTTTGTTGAGATGGGACAAATAAAATCAAATATCAAGGAAGCTAAAAAAGTTATTATTGACTTTATAATCTTGTATAGGTGAAACAAATAACTAAACACACTAAATTATTTAAAATTCATATCATAATGGTATGAATAAAATTGTAACATAATCTAGCTATTTATTTAAGAATAATGGGTATTACAACCTTAATCTAAATAAAACTAGCTTTAGTATGATAATGTTAAGTTTATATATTATTTATTTATTTATCCTAAAATGAGACAGAATTTAATTTATATGATCACTTTTATGCCCTACATATATTAGTGGGAAGTATTTGTCAATCTTTGTGAGCATACTCTAATAGATAAGATAGTCAAGTAATTACTAATCACATATCAATAGATCATGAAGGGACTACGATAGGTTATTTTAAAAGTTTTTGTTAAGAGAGAGGTTGTACATTAACTTTTAAAAAATCAATTATTATATATAGTTCATTTTAAACTACTTAAATAAAGTAAACAAATTAAATCTTTCAAAAGCAAAATAGTTAAACACATATCCAAACTAACCACAACACAAATTAGAACTATAAAAGATAATTTAATATTATTGTAATTAAATAAATATAAGTAAACTACAAGTATATAAAATAGAGGCATGTTGTAACTAAGTTTTTCAATACACCTTGGAAACAAAATTATCAAAACATGCAATTTGACTTAATACAACTAGTATTCTAAAATCTATACATAAATGAATAAAGGCATATTGTATTTAGCTTGTTCTTTTGCGTATTCTAGGGATATTTATCTATCAGGTCTAATCTTACATGTAGGCTAAGTTTTTTTATATCTAAAGTATACATCAATTAAAATAAAAGTAT